GGGCTGTGAATGTGTAGCGCGGTGCTGCCGGGGAAAGGGAGCCCAGCCGCGGTGTGCGGGGGGAAAGAGGCCTCCCCGCCCTGCCGGGGAGATGTATCCGGGGAAAATCCGCCCGGTGGGACTCGGTCATTGGCTCGGCCGCGGCAGGTGGTGGTGGGGTGTGCCCCGAACCCACCTCGGACGGTGCTCGGTGTGGACGGTTCGTCCCTGTGCTGGAAAAGACAAAGAAAAATGACACGTCTCCTCTCGAGGTGGTGTCTCTACCTGTGCAGAAGGAAGCTAAGCTTTCCCTGATTGTTGTCGTGGGAGGGTTATTTCTGGCTGGTTTGGGAGGAATTACAGACGTTTTTTTACAGTGGAGTAGGTTATGGGACTGTGTGCATATTAAAAAAAAAATACTGTAGGTATTGCTTAGCTTGGAAGGTGGGATGGAAGGGACAGTGTTTAGTGTGTGGGATGTATGGGAAGGGGTGGGGAAGCAAGAAATCTGAGTTGAGGCTGGGCATAATGTAGATACAGGAGAACTGGAGGGATGTGCAGAATCCTGAAGGATTGGTGCTTCCCCAGCCTGGGACTAGGCCAGAGCTCTCCTCTTCTAGAGAATAGTTGAGTTTCCCTGGGAAAGCACTCTGCTAGAAAAGGGCAATGATGTATTCTTAATTATGCATGTCTAGGGAATTATGTGGACGCTTTTTTTTTTTTGGTTGAGTTACACGAGAAAGTGCTTATCCTCAGGGATTTCAGGATTTCAGGCTGCCTTTTAAAAGTTTTAATGGCGAAGGTGCTTAGATTGTGGGTTTTCCCCTGCATTAAGGTCAATGATTGCTTGCTGGCCTGCTGAGGGGAAGGTGGATTTCCTTGCTGTCATGCTTGTAAGGTCAGCGTTGTATGGGTTGTTCTCGTGTACTTTCTGGTGAATAACCATTGTTTATTGTTCTTTAGCCTGTTCTTCTGAGAGCTGCAGAACAACTTCCAACAAAATTTCTTCCTGGCTCTTGCAGGCTGTCTGACCACAGATGTGCAGTGTACAAATGTTTGCTGCCTCTTGGCCAGGGAAGGTAGTTGTGTCTTAGTAGTACCTTAGAAGATGCAAGTTGGGTAGATTTTTGTTGTTGTCGTTTAAAAAGAAGGCGAAAAAGGTGCAAGTAAATTTAGTGATTTGATAGGTTGGTGAAGTCTGTCATGTAGGAGGTATGGTTTGATGTCTTTCTCCTGCTGTGGGGAGATGAGGATGCTGTAAATAAGACACGTGGCAGGAGGAACTGGCTGCAAGTTGGATGAGTTCTGAAAGTGGTTGCTGTGTTTCTACACTAAGGAATTACAGCTCCTAAAATGGCTCCTCTCCCCATCCTCCTTTGGCTGTAATAGGACCAGTTTGGGGTTGGTTTTTTCAATCCACTTTGATTACTATCCTGTTGTTCTCATCTATGCTGGTTTTATTTGTAAGTAACTTGCCAAAAGTGTGCCTTGAAACTCTGTTCTGTTTTAATGTGGAGAGAATTGAAGAAATGAATTATTTAATATTTTTAGTTGTCTGCACTGCATTTATTGCTTAAAGGAGTAATGTAACCTCTGATTTAAGATTACATGTGACAAAATAGAACTGGATTAATATGTTCCCCCAAGGAAAAAGAATGGCTTTTTGTAATTACTTATATTGATTATAAATACCTTATGCATTCTTTACTTGTGCAAGACATATCAGCTAGGATTTGTTTTGTGGAAAGCAAATATAAAAGAACTAAAATTTCTACTGTAGTAGAAATTATATATATGGAACAACATGAGAGGACTATAATATAGAATGTGTCTTCTATTTCAGAGCCTCTGCTGGATGGAAAATGGGCCCAAGAATAGGGGAAGGAATAGTGCAAAGAAACAGGAAAAGAATGGATGTCATGTGCTGCCCTGGGTTTGTACTTTGGATTAGTGTAGACCTTAATAACCCTCTAATCCGTTGTGTGGGGTAACAGTTTCTATATGATAAGAATCACAGAGAGGCCAAGTGCAGAGTCCTTGGTGCTGGTGGAGCTTTGTGAACTGTGAGCTCACAATGTTGACCTGTGTTGCAAGTGGGGGCATGCTGCTTACTGAGCCTGGTCAAGGGGCTTTTTGGGGACATTTAATTTATATGTGTTGTCTGGATTGCTTGACCAGAACAGTAATGTCTTATTTTTCAAAATATTTTTGTTTTGAATATCATACTCAAAATTCAAACCTCTCAGCCTCCCAGGGTTGGGTTTGGGTCTGGGTGCTTGCCATCTCTGAAAATAAGGTTACCAAACAACATGTTTTGGCATAGCTTTTCCCTCTCAGAATGCTCAGGCTTTAGTATAATTCCCTTACTCATATTTGGAAAATGCTTCAATGAAGGAACCGCAGTACCATAAAACACTAAATCTTCAATACCAAAGTTAATTAGAATGATATGTCAATTATTCAACTCTTGCTGCGATAAACTGAAACCATTAGTACAGTCAGGCTGACAATTAGCATATCCATTGATATTATTCAGTGATAAACTGTTAATGGCACAGTCCATCAGATATTTTAATAAGAATTTGCAGAAAGAATCAATCCAATATTGGAGTAACACCTTCTTCCCCCTGTGCTTAGGCCAGTAAAAGTGGTGTCTCTGTGGTGGGAGGATGTGCCAGCTCTCAGCCGAGAGAGCTGCTGGGCTGTAGGTAGAGGATTGGAGGGCCTTGTCATGTTGATTTTGGTGCCACCAGCAGCACCATGATCCTCATTGTGTCCCTGTGTCAATAATCCAGGATCCCCAAAAGAACTGGGGGTTTCTGTTGCTGTGCTCATCACACCCCAGGGGCTGAGCGTGAGGGACCGGGCTTGTCAGAAAATTAAGTAGCAAAACCTTGGATGGTTTTATGTTTCCAGTTACTTCCCTTGCAAGTGTATCACTTTAAAATGAAGTGGAAGTATCTAAAAATGCTGTTACTCATCTCCAGGCGAGGTGTGGTTTGGAGGGGACTGGCTGTGAGTGCTGATGTCCAGCTCTGCATTGTTGATGTAACTGTGGGATGTCAAACCCTTCTCTCTTGGGGAGTATCTTCAAAATTGCTGCTACTTTCCAAAAATTTCTTCCTTCACATTAATTTTTCTTGGTTTATTATTATTTACTTGTTCTGTTATTAATAGTTGCTGATATTACACAGCAAATATATTTTGAATTTAAACCCACCAACCTTCACGCTTTTTGTTTTTAGGCTGTGTGTTTTTCCTCGTCAGTTCAGTGGACAAGTCTGGAATTTGATTTCAAAAGCAAAACACACACCTTGAACATACATGTTCCCACCTTTTAGAATTTCTAAGGGAGTTTTGATCCACTCAGCAGGTCAGTTTGTCCAGAGTGGAAATATGAACATTCAAGGTCTTTTCCTGTTTAAGTCAAGTCCCAGATTTGTGTCTTAATTTTGAAAAATAACACGATCCTGATCTTTATAATCACCTGTTGATTTGCCTGAAGGCACAATATACTTTATTAAATATACTTTAACCTGTGGACTGACTCTCTATTGTGTTTTGAATGCTGGAAGATATAAATTCTTTGCCCATTTTTATTGCTTCTTGGCGGCTTCACCGTCCTCACAGAGATGATGGACTTACTAAGTGTTTTCTTCCCTCCCTGGCCTGGTGCCTCGGGATGCTGAGCTGCTTTCCCCTAGCCCTTGATGGGTGGAACTAGTTTGTGTGTGCTCCCTTGCAAGTGATTGAAGAAGGAATTTTGTTTAAAAACTTTTAAGAAGCTAAAGCAAACAACGTCTGTCAGCGTGGGAGTGGATCAAATCCCATCGGCTTCATCGTGGCTGATGGTCGAATAGGAGACTTGCTGGACTTTCACTGCAGGCACTTTATTAAAACTACTTCTCAGATGTGAAGTTTTCTGTACTAAATTTAGGTATTTTAACTACATACTTTTCTTTAAAAAAATATACCAAGTGTGTAGCTTAAAAAGAAGGATGAGGTTATGGCTT